CACCCGCCAGCCAGGGGCGCCGGGGCGCGGGATGCCCGGCCTTGTGCGGCGCCGGGCGCGATCGGCCGCCGGGGCTGGCCTTGCCGGCCCTTGCGAAGGGGCTGCGGGCGGGGCGGGGCGGGGCGGGCGCAGGGCGCGGAGCCCGGGGGGGGGCGCCCCGCCCCGCCCCGTGGGGGCGCTCTGCACGTGCTCAGCTTGTCCCGACGTTCTGTGGCACGTCCACGCGCAGTCCAGCCACGCTCGGGTTGACGGGAACCGATGTGCTGCCAAGCCATGTCCAAGGACTTGCGGCACCCCGACCAGCGGAAGGGCCCCAGAATGCGCCCCCCCCGCCCGTGGCACCCCTGGCTAAGCTGCTCCCAATTCAAGGCCGTGGCCGCCTAGACGGAGTCCGTCCATCTCACGTTTGGCCTCCCGTCCTGCCGTCTGCTTGGACTTCCCCAGCACGCCTGCCGCCTTCTCCTGAAGTGTCCCACGTATGACAAGTGTCAAGGGCTATTCACAAGGTCGCCACAATCCTTCAAAGCTGCTAGTCCTCGTGGGTCCCTGCTACCTCCGGTGTCAGAGGTTAGCCAAGGTAGGCAAGCAGGAGGGGGCCACTGCACCCCTTCCTGCTTCTGGACTTCCCCTTGCCCCCTCCCCACCACGGCTGACTGGGTTGTGCTCTCCTGGCTTTTGTGCAGTTTTTCCTGGTTCCGGAAGGTGGAAATGTGGCTCCCACGTTAGGAAACCCCTCAAGCTGAAGCAGGCGGGTGTTTTCTTTCCTCCTCGCTGCCATCCACGCCCCGCAGCCCCCCTGCAGCTCCTTCGGGCCCTCCTCCTGGTCCCTTGGCCTCCGCGCGAGGGCAGGAGCTGGTGGCTGAAGAGGACCGGGGAGGAAGAGGCCTTGGCTGCCAGATTTGGATGCCAGCCCTGACCTGGCAGTGGTCAAAGTGGGAACCCAACCAAACTGGCCAGCCTCGCACATCCCGCCAGCGCGGAGTGGAAAGGCGGCCGGGAGCAGGCGACGAGAGCGAGGCCTCTTGCCGTGCCGAAAGGGCCAGTCTTCCCGCGGGAGACGCTGGCAAGAGGCTCTGCACCAGTGGCGTCCTCCGCTGGGCTCAGATTGCCCCAGCCGGCTCGAGGGGGGCGCGAGACTCTGCGCCGCTCGGAGACTGGCCCCTTGCCCTCCTTGCAGGGTCCAACAGACGACCAGCCCAGCCAGGCAGTGCGCCGCATGCCCGCTCCCTGGTGGATGAGGCCCACGGCTTCACTGGTATGGACATGGCGTTCCCCCTCAAGAACCTCTTCCAGGAAAGCCCCTGAAAGTGGGCTTCCTGCATTTTGCTCCCAGGCGCCCTACTCTGGACCCTCTGGTGCCAACGGAGGCGCGTGGCTCGGAGCTTGGACCAACCCAGGAGGGAGGTGCGGAGCGCCAGGGAGGCTGTGGCTGCGGGGCGCTCCCCACCCCGACTGTACAATGCCGGCAAACAGCACTTTGAGGGGTCTGTGACGGGAACGCAAGAACGGCCCTGCTGGAGCTGCTGGCGATTTCTGGACGGTGCCTCACTGGACGGGCGCCTCGCTCTCTTCGGAAGGAATGGCTTGCAGAGTTTGCTTTGGGAAATCCGCAACACTGGCAGCTGTTTGTGTGCCCTTAAATTTTATTCCTACGATTAACGGGAGAACAGCAAAAGTGAACTTGGACAGCGCTAATTGCAAAGCGGCACACACTGGAAACGGGCTGCGGGATGCCCACGAACGGGTGCCACAGCACCCTCCCGGCCCCGCTGTCAACAGCCGGCGGGCAGGCGCACTGCCTGCGATCTTGGAGACATTACGCGGCCACTGCAACTCGTGGCGCTGGAGCCAGAGCCTCCACGAGCGTGTGCCCCATGCCGCCAGGTCCGAACAGGCCCCCAGCTCGCTCGGAGAAGGCGCAACGTGACAGGAGGCAGGGAAACCATCCGGGCCTCATGGAGCATCGTGGATTCGCTGCCCAAGCTGGCACCATCTGGCCATTCGGGACTGAGACTCCCATCACCCCCCGTCGTGGACCACACTGCCTGAGGCTGATGGTCGCTGTCGTCCAAAACCCCTGGAGATGCTGCTGTCAGCACGGGTTGTCCACCTCCTTGGAAGATGCCCAGCCCCAGGCATCATCCAGGCACCAGCGAGTCTGGATGCCCTTTATGCTGAGGCTGCAATGACCCCCCCCGGTGGAAAACTGTAGCCAGGGGAGCAGAGATATATTCCTGTCTGTGGGTTGCAAGGTCTGTGGGAAAAGTGTTGTTTTTATTGTTTTATATTGTTATTTTATATTGTTATTTTTATATTGTTATTTTTGTATTTTACTTCATGTTGTGAGCCACCCCGAGGCTTCAGCGAATGGGGCGGCATAGAAATGTTTTAATAAATAAATAAAAATAAGTGCTGCAGAACGCCACAGCCCGGGAGCCGAGCGGAGTCCTGCGTTGTGCACCTGTGGTGCCAGTGCTGAAGCAACGCCGCTGGCTGCCTAGGCGCTCTGGGGCCGCGCTCGGGGCCCTGCGGTTGGCATGCGAAGGCCTCGACGGCGTGGCCCCAGCCGCCGCCGCGGCCCCCTTCCCGGACACAGACCTGCGCGTGGGACCACGGAGCCCCGTGGAAGGAGCCTGCGGCTGCAGCGACACAGGAGCAAGCCTTCCCGGTGCACCCGTGGGGCATTCGGGAGGCATTGGCGGTGATGCGTTTCGGGGGCCTGCGAGGGGGCCTCTGCCCCCACCCAGGTCTTTCGGAAAGGGGTGCGCTGCACGGACAGGCCGCTTATCAACTCTGGCACTTGTTTGGATAAATGTGCTGAATATTTTAAGGGACGGATTTTTGTCTCCATAATCATCAAGTCAACCTGGTTCTATCAACTGTTTAAAATACATCTTTGAGATGGCAAGTGGCACATAAACGCCTTAAAATAAATGAATGCTCGGACCAGGCAGATGCAAGCTCACCTGGCTGATGCGGGTTCGTCACGGTTGTGAAGCCAGAGAGAGCTGCCAGCCGCAGTTCCCCAAACGGCTGACGGCGCTGAACAGCCGACTGTGCTGAGCAACGGGTGTCCCCTGGGAAATCAAGCACTGCGTTCCCGCCTAACAACGGGAATCCCGTAGGAGGAAGCGCTCGGCAAGGCTGTGCTACCGGGAGGTACCTTGTTCTTCTACCCCACAGTTCAGTGAAGGGCTTATGGACTGGGGGAGCGGGGTGGAGCTGGTGGCCTGGCCACCCGAGACACGCAACACTGCGGACAGTCCTCTTCCGGGAAGAGCTGCAAGCAGGACATCCCGTTAAATTGTTGCCCAGCGTTTCCCTCACTGGAGGCTGAACCGGCCACCTCTGTCGTAAGCAAAGTGCAGGATGCTGCTTGCTTCGTGTCCATGACCCGAGTAAAAGCCAGCCGGGGAGCCAAGAGCTGCCAGCCAAGAAAAAACGGCCCGCCAGAAGCCCCTTCCCAACACAGTGGCGAGAAACGGTGGGGCTGCAGCTCCACTCAGTCGGGGTGGAGCAAGGCCTCTGGTGGCCCCTTCATTTCCCACCCAAACCAGAGAGCCACAATTTGGGACGAACGAGGGAGTAGATGCTGCCTCTTTTCAGGGCAAGGAACCGGACCCTGCAGAGCCTCTGTGGCCCTGGACACGGAGCCGGAGCCGCAGTGCGAGAGGCCAACTTCTCCTCCCTCCGACCACTGGAGCTCAGCGCCACGCAGCGCTAGAAGGGCGAGGCGGAGCGAGAACGCGAAGGGGAAGAGACTGCCGGGGCAGAAAACCAGCAGCGGAAGCGCCCCCTCCTCGTAGGCCCAATGGCGTCGGCGCCCACGCGTCTCCTGCATGAGGCAAGCAGAGTCACCAGCCATCTCCGGCTCGCTTCGGGACCTGGGACGGGCGCAGAAAAGCCGGGCAATGGAAACCCAAGTGACTGCCAGACCTGGAAAAGTCCCGAAGCAAAGCCAAATGCAGGAGGAGCACCCCCCCCCCCGCCCCGGCAGGGAGGCCCCGAGGCAGCCTCGGGGCCAGGACTGCGGAACAGTGACTCTTCCTTCCACACACACCCACCCCCCGGCCTTCCTTGGAACAGTCCGGTGCAGAAAAGGGGGGCTGGGAGTCAGGACCTGGCTCCCTGGCTCTCCGGCTCCCAGAGACCCCTCTCCGTCCCAAGAGCACCTTCGGAAGTGGCGGCTCGTTCCCGGCAAGGCCAGGCGGCCTCCCGCACCGAGAGGCAGCTGCTTCCACAGGCCCCATCGGCCCATCTGGCCCGCATCCCCGCCAGGGCTCGCATGTCACGGACGGACTGAGGGCACGGGACGCACCCGGGACCACTTGGCCCACGCCCAGCCAAGAGCTCCGACCTGCCCAGAGACGAGGCGGCTGCGGAAGAGACACACTTGTATTGACGGGTTCTGCAAAAGGTGTTACAGAAGCGCACACACGCCACGGACCAAACACCTGACGTCACACGGGGAAAGCCGGCTCGTTACAGTCACCTCGGCTGACATTTAGTTCAACAACATTGAAAGTCATATATAATTCAACCAATATTTACAAAGATGCCTTCTGTAAAAAATAAAAAAGGAGGAAGAACAACAGCAACAAGACGGGGTGTGGGCGATTCTTGGATGCGCGGCGTGTGGAAGACCAGGAGGGGGGCAGGCGGCAGGCCCTGCTGCGGCTTCGGACGGTGAAACAACACACAAGAGCTCTGGGCACGGGGCCCCGACGCCCCGGCCCGACCCGACGGGGGCCTGGCAGAAGCGGCTTTCACATGACCTGGGAGTGTAGCCAAAGGCGATTCAAAATTCAAGGGACGGAAAGACACAACCTGCACTGACAACAATTAACTGGAAAAGGTCGGCCTGGACTGCGGCCCCGCGGAGGCGCTTCGTGGGGCCAGAGTTCTGGTGGGGGCTGCGCAGCCCCCTGGGCAGGTTCTCAGGAGAGAGGAGGGTCTGATTCGAACAGGCGGGCGTGCACGCTCGCCTCCCCGGCCTCGGCCCCAGCCCCGGCCCCGGGCCCGTGCGGTGTGGTCTGCGCGCGTGTGAGGTCTGCGCAAGCGACAGGAAGCCTGCACGGCGACAGGATGAGGCAGGCAGTGGGGTCCTGCGTCCGCACGAGGAGGAAGCGGGGGCTCCGTGCTCCTCCCTGGCCGCCCGTACCCCACCCCGCCCCCAGACTGGTTCTCCGCTGCATGGGACAGGGACAGGCCCAGGCGTGGCAGGCCAGCGGGAACGGCACCGCCGGTCGCCCAAGCGCAACTGGTGCCTGCCGGGGCGGGGCGCGGCTGGGCGCGCGTCCCGGCCCCCGCGAGGCCTGCGCGCAGGGCGGGAGGCCCCCCCGCGCCCCGGCACCCCCGAGGCGGGCCGAGCCGCTCCTCAGCCTGCTGGGCACGGCCGCGTCGGCCCGGCGCCGGGCGCTACAGCGGCTCCGGCTTCAGGCCCACCAGGCCCACCGAGGAGGCGATGGCCAGGTGGTGCGTGGCCGGGGTGCGCGTGTGAATCTTCTGGTGGCAGTTCAGCGACTCCTTGTAGCGGAAGTTCTTCCCGCACGTGGCGCACTGGTAGGGCGTCTCGCCGGTGTGCACGCGCCAGTGCTTGAGGAGGTGGTCGCGCCGGATGAAGCTCTTCCCGCACTCCGTGCACTGGTAGGGCCGCTCCCCGGTGTGGATGCGCTGGTGCCGGACCGCTTTGGAGAGGTCGCGGAAGTCCTTGCCGCAGTAGGTGCAGGTCAGCGGCCCGTCCCCCTTCCCCGTGTGCAGCTTCTGGTGCAGGAGCAGGCTGACCTCCAGCTTGAAGCTCTCCTTGCACTGCGTGCAGGTGTAGGGCCTCTCCACCATGTGGTTGCCCGGGCGCTTCCCCGTGCCGGGCTTGGGCCCCGAGCTCCGCTGGGGCTCCGGCCGCTTCGGGGCCCTGGCCCGGGCGGGCGTCGGGGCCCTCTGGGGCGCGGCGGGGGGCGGCTTCGCTTTCGGGCCTCCCCCGGGGTCCATCGCGGGGAACGGCCCTCCGCCCCCGTGGCTCTTCTGGTGGGCGGCAAAGAGCTGCTTGTCCAGGAAGCCCTCCCCGCACTCGCAGCAGATGTAGGGGCCGGTGTGCGCCTCCACTGCCGGCGCGGGGGGCTCCTCCTTGTGTGCCTCGCCCACGCAGCGGGCGGAGCGCCGCAGGCTGCCCCCAGCAGGCCTCCTCGCCGGACCCGCAGGCGCGGGCTGGCTTTCGCAGAGCAGCTCCTCGCCGGGGCCCTGGAAGACCTCTGTCCATTTCCTGGGGAACATGCCCGGGAGCTCCACGCTTTCGGGATCTTCCTCCAGAAGCTGGGGAGCATCTGGCAGAAAGAAAGGAAAAAGGGGGACGCTGGAGGCGGAGGGGCGAGCCGTGTGAGAGCACCCGAGGCCGCCCTGCTGCGGAAGGGGCCTTCGGACGCCTCCCTTCCTCAGGCCCACGCGGCCCACGAGCAGCGGTGTGCGGCAGAGCCGGAAGTGCAAACGGCCGGAGCGCTCGGGACGGCTCTCCAGCGGGGCCCGTCGTTCTGAACGGGGATTCGGGCCCTCGGCCTGAGGGAAGCCATCGCCACGCGAGCTTCCTGGGGGGGCTGCGGGGCCCTCCGTGTGCCTCCCTCGATCGAGCGCCTGCGCAGCTCCAGGCACGAGGCCTTGGCCAAGCCGCTCGCCGCCCGCGCCAGCAAGAGGTCCCACGAAGAAGCCCCGCAGAGAGCCAGAAAAGGGAGCTGGCTGCCACGGGGAGGGGGGGCCAAGCCCCCACGCCACGTGACACCCTTGGCCAGGTCCTGGCACTGTCCAGGCACTCCCACGGGGCTGTTGCCTAAACAGGACCCGCTGCCAGTGCAACGCGGAACCCCCAATTTTTCTGGGACGAGTCAGCAGCGTTTCCTCCCACCCCCCACTCCCCCCTCCCCGCCGCAGATGAGCGCTTTCCGAACCGCCCCTTCCCTCGTGCCGCAGCAGGGATCCTGCGATCGCCCACCGTCGCACACTCTGCAAAACTCTACACTGGTCTTTCGTGCCCACTCACGGCCTCTCTCACTGCCTGCTGCAGCTCTGCTGGACTGTGCTTTGGCCGCCCCGAATCGCATGCAGGGAGGAGAGGGAGAGCTGGAACGGGGAAGGACCCCCACCTGCAGCCGTTCCGACCCCCCCGCAGGCCACAGCAGGGAGGGGAGCGGAGGAAGGCCCGGGGGCTGCCCTGGGCGGGACACACGCTGCCGCACGACTCAGGGACTCTGGAACGCGGCGCCCCGATTCACGGGGGGGCTCTCTGCCACACCCCTGGTGACGGTCTCCTGCCCGCCCCACCTGCCCGCGCCCTCCTGCGCGATGCACCCGCAGCCCCCAGGAGGACTGCCCCTGCCAACATACCCCTTGCGGCGACTCCGGGGACATCTCGATCCTCCAGGTCCCCCATGCCTTCGGCAAGGGACGCCTCCTCCTGCTCCATCCAGGAGTTCTCATGGAGGGCAGAAACCGGGGAGCCTGTTTAGGAGGAGGAGCAGCTACAGCGCCCTCTCGCCAGCAACACGCCCGGGGGGTCCCGAAAGGGCACCCCAGCCGCGGGGGCACGGGGGGGGGATACGTGGCCCGCCTCCCCAGCGCTGCCCGTTGGAGTCACCTCTGCCTCCATCAGCATGTCAAGGGCTGAGAGAGCTCGGCCGTGGCCTTCGGGCGCCGGACGGGCGGGGGAATTTTGCTTGGGCTGCAGAATCCCGCACCCGCGGGCTCCTGCTCTCACTTGGCGGAGAGGAACAGCACGGCGAGGCTGAGCCCTCCCTCGTCCGCCCTGCACGCACGGGCGCTCCCACTGGCCCTGCACCCTCGCTGCCCGCGGCTCACCCAGAGCGGACTCCCTGCAGGGCGCTCCCTCTTCGCCGTCCCCTTGCTCGATCCGGGAGGGCGGGCCCGGCTTGGAAATGGCGGCATCTGGGGGGGGGGGGGGGGGGCACAGGCGTCAGGGCCGGGTCCTCCTCCACTCCAAAACCCCGGAGGAAGGAGCCAAGCTTCCTCCCCACTCAGCCTTTCCCGGGCTGGGGGAAGAGGCACGGTTTGCATTTCCCAAGGGAACGGGCCTGGGGTGGCTTTTGCCCACACAGAGGGGATCAGAGGCTGCTCCCCCTCGCTACCGACGGAAAGGAATTTCTTGCCAGAGGAGGGACGCCAACAACCGCACCCGCTTCACGGATTCCCCCACGGCACGCGGCCTGGCTCTCTTGCACGAGCGGCCACGAACATGCCGGCTCTCCAGTGTTTGTCACGGTGCTTTTCCTCTCCCGGAGGGCACTTCCAATGGCTCTCAGCCCTGACGGCCAAGTGCCAGCGCTAGCATCGGAGGCGGCACGCCAATGGGCGCCGGCCACTGGGGAGCGTGGGTGGGGAGGAGCTGCTGCCCTGCTGGGCTGCCTGGGGCGCCCTGGGGCTGACCGCTGCGGGAAAGGAACGCGGGGCCGGAAGGCGCCTGGGCCCGATCCAGCCTCAGGGCTCTTCCGGGGCCCCGTAGCAGTTCCGTGGGACAGCACCGGCTCTGCCTGCACAAGTGCCCTGACCAGGCCCTGGCTTCCGCCTGGGGCTTGGTGCATTCCTACACCGCCCAAAGCTGAGGCCCTCTGGGCGGTTGACAGCAGAGAAGCGAGCCTGCCAGAGCGTCCGGAGAGCGGGCCAGAGGAGACGGCCCGCGCAGGAGCCGGGTGGCAAGCGCTGTGCCCAGCGCCCCGCGGTCTGGCCCACGCAGCTCAAGCCACGCCGGGGGAGGCGGAGCGTGGCCACGCCGGGGGGACTCACCCACTGAGACCACGGCCTCGTAGTTGCTCTTCATGATGTGCCGGTACAGGTCCTTCTGCTCGTCGTCCAGGCTCTTCCACTCCTGCTCGGAGAAGCTGCAGGAAGCCTCGTCGAACAACAGGGGCACCTGCGGTCACACCAGGCCACGTGAGGCGTCGCGCTCCCGAGGGAAGCCGAGCGCAGGGCAGCAGGGGAGAAGCATCCTCTCACTCACAGCCGCTGACTAAGCAGCGGAGGACGAAGCTGCGCTGAAGGGCCGTCAGCTCGGAAGAGCCGCACCTGAAACCTCCGGGTGAGGCAGCCAGGTTCTGACCCGGGATGGGCTGCCCAAAACACATCTGGCCAGTACGGGGGAAAGGAACTCTTTGCTGGCTTCCAGTTATACTTCTGGGCACTGTGCAAGGGGGCTGACTTTGGCCTCGTAGGAGCACCGGGACATCAGGAGGAGGAGCTGCTCCCAGCGGAACCTGCCCACCCCTCCTGGTCTGGACTGGAAGAATGATGCCACCCCCGCACCGTCCCTGGAGCCGCAGGACAACCCCCCCCCCCCGCAATCTCTGTCTTGGCCTCCCAAATCCAGGACAAGCGCCTCCTCTTTAAAATGCAGGGCATGCACAGCCTCGCCGTCCCCCCACCCCTTGTCCCCATACCCCAATTCGCCCCGCCCGTGCTTCTTCCATCTCGGTGAGCCCCACACCCTGAAGCAACAGTCTTGCTGCCCCTCGTGCCTGGAACTGCCCTCCCCCAGGGCAGCAACTCTCTCCCTCCGAGCCCCTCCTCACACCCACCCTGCTCGTCGCCCCCCAGCAGAGGCTGCCCCGTGTGGCACTCTGCACTGCGACTGAGTGCAGGGCCGGGCCACACCGTCCCCTCACACCAGTGCACAAGCGGACACTCGACCCTCTTTCTGGGTCCAATGCTCAAGTTCCGGTGTTTCGGCACGAGCTCGCTTGAAAAGGCGGCGCAGGTACAGCGCCCTCTTCTATCAATGCACCGTCCGATTCCCAGGAGCCCTGTAGTGCAAGCGGTTTTTCAATGGGGCAGACATGCCGCACAAGCCTTCGAAACCGAGAGAGCGGCTTCTGGATCGCCACTGGTATTTGGCAGCCCCTTGGTGGCAGCCCCGTGGGGGGCAGGGGGGGCTGCAAGGGACGTGCAAAGGCCCGTATTTGGCCAGGCTTGGCCTGTCGGCACCAACCTTGGGGGTTTCCCCCCGGGAGCCCGGGGGCAGCCGGAGGATCCAGAAGTTGCGGTTCTTCAGCAGGTTCTCCATGTTCTCCAGCCGCCGCTGCAGCTGCCCGTACTCCTGGATGAGGGTGCCCAGGGCGGCCCACTTGCTCTCCAGCTGGTTCCCGAATTCGACCGCCGTCTTCTCACAGCCGTCCAGCTTCGTCTCGGCCATTCCCATCCTCCCCTCCAGGCTCATGAGCTGTGCGGCGTACGAGTCCACTTTGCTCTCCACGGCTTGGATCTCGGCCACGACCGTCAGGGAGAGCTCGGCCGTCTCTGGGAGCGCGTCCCCCACAGGGGTTTGCTCGGGGATGCCCAGGGGCAGTGCGGCTGCCGTGGGCTGGGTCTCCACATCCCACTGAAGAGCCTGAAAGCGAGCGGAGAGAGGGGCGTCACTTCCCGACACGGTCAGGAGAGCACGTGGCAGTGCCCGGCAGGCCACCTCTGCCCAGACCTCCCAGGGACGGAGAGCTAGCAATGTGAGGCGAAGGAGAAAAGGGACAGGAGAGGAGCCGTCAAGAAACGGGGCCTGTTTGCACGCTCGATGGGCTTCCATTCCTGCTGCTCAAGGAGAAAGGGCAGACAGAGCACCGAGCCCCAGCACAGCACGAGAAAGCTTGCCTCACTCACCCCTGACATCTGCTCCACCACCAAGTCCATAAGGACTAGAAACACGGGAGAATGAATTTGGTCCCCGAGGCCAAATGCTGCATATGCGCAGCCTTAGCAACAGTCGCAGAGAACCGCAGTGCGGGCATAAATGGCTGTGAAAGGGCAGGACGGAGGCCCGTCCGGTCTGGCCTTCCGCAGGACATGCGCAGCACAAGAGCACCTCTTGCCCATGTTCCCCAGCAACTGCCTCCAAGGGCGGAGGGACAAAAGAGGGTTTGCTTCAGACATTTCTGTACCACTACAAGGAAGGCTGAAGCTCCCCTGGCCGCCCACAAAGCAGGACCTCCTAAAATGCAGCCCTCGAATTAAGCGCCATGTGAAAACCTTTGGACGGGTCCAGCGGCATGAAAGAAAGCAGAGAGAAAGGGCGCCGCTGGGAGCCATCTTGGCCGGGAGCCATGGGCGGCTCTCCCTCCAGAACAGGGAGGAGGAAACGGCTCCAGGCGCAGGGCCGGGCGGGCCAAGGGGCCACGGCCGTGGGCGGAAGGGGAGCCACAGGGGCCTGGAGCACGCCCGGCCCCCCGAGGCAGAAGCTGCAAGAGTGGCTGCCTGAGGAGACGGAGGAAGACAGGTGGCCGCAGGTGAACAAGCTGCGAGCTGCAGGTGGACCAGGCGATGGCCGGCCAGGTCGCCCCAACGTGACGCACGAGGGCCTTCCTGCTTCTCTGGAAGATGCGGGGATCCTGAGGGGACTCCCTCCCGACAGCAGGTCATCTGCAACATGGGAAGTGGTGGGCTGCATGGAAATCCCCTGCGCCAGCCGTTCCCAGCCCGAGGCCCTCCCGAGCCGCTGGACTACAACCCCCACCATGCCCCTTTCCAGCGCTGCGCCCTGACCCACCCAGAAGGCACCAGGTTGGGAAGGGCTGCTCTGGGTAGGCCCCTGCCCATGCTCCGGGAGGCTGATGGCCACACGGCAACGAGGCACCCCATTTCTGTGCCGGTCAAAGCAGGTGCAGCCTTGCCTAATCTGGGACCCACCCAGCAGGTCCAGGGCAGCCCACCCACCGCCGCACTGGGCTACCCTAAAAAGTCGCTTCCGTGGTCCCCCACCCCCAGTAGGTGCTCAGGTCAGAGCTCAGCTGCCTCGGTGCTGGCTGCAAATGCAGAGACACCTGTTTCCAGGCCCGATCAAGTGTGGCTTTTGGCTTTCAAAATCCGAAGCAGCCTGGGATACCTCAAGGGCCCAGCGCTTCACAGAAACCTCTCCCCACGGATCTCGTTCTGCATATTCCGACAGCCTGAAGGGCAACAGGCTGGAGACACACCATGAGTCTCTCTGTGGTGCCACTGAAACGGCAGCACCCCTTCCCTGTCCGTCGTGTGAGACCACAAGCTTTGGGAGATGCTGCCAGTTCTCAGGGGAACCGAATGCTACTCCTGTTAAATCTACTGGTACTTGGAAAGTGACTGTTTGTGCTACTCTGGCCAGCTTTTATGCACACCGCTTGCTAAGTTGTGCTTTGGAGATTGTTTATTTATTTATTTATTTATTTAGGAAGCTTCTATGCCGCCCCATTCGCCGAAGCCTCAGGGCGGCTCACAACATAATGGTTTAAGAAAGCAAAATTAGCAACCTACCCTAAATTATCCAGAAATACTGTCATGCTTAAGGACACGGAGAAGGCCTCTTTGAACTCAGCACAGGTCCACCGGGTCTCAGGACTCTGTGCAGAAATATTCTAGCTGCAAGCAAGCGCCGGGTGGTCCACTCGAAGGAACCAAAATCAGGCCACTCCAAGAGCAGGCAAGGCGTAAGAGGCAAGGCGAAGGTGCTTTGCCGTTACATAAGCGACTCCTGGTACACTTTGGGAGAGTGGGTCTTTGCACTCTCTTGATTTTTAGGATTCCAACTGCAACACGGACACGAATGGCTGGCGCCTGTACTTTTTTCTGTGGAAACTTTGTTAACACTTTGATTTTTAAAGCACTTGGGGCACACCCTAGTCCCAGTCAATGCAAGAAGCCAGAACATGTTAGCAGCTTTAAAATTGGCTCCGTATCCACCAGAAATGGGCCAGGGGTCCATACACTGTATTCTGAGCACCCGTGACTAATGAATTCCTCAAGTAGCCAAGGCTTCAACGTGGACAAACAGAAAGAATTCTGTGTCATCTTTTCCCTCAAGGCATCTGGCAACCGAATCTGGGGCCAGTATGAAGTGAGAGCCCAAGAAAGTTTTTGATACTCAGGCCACAACAGAAAGAGATCGGGATGGAGGGCCCACTGTAAAGATGCTCGAAGGAAAGCGTTTCCAACACCACAGAATGAGAAAGCAATAAAAATAAAATTAAATCAAAATCAAAATAAATTAACTCTCTCAACTAGATCTGTTCTGCTCAAAGCCAGTCCCAACAGAGGGAATGCTCCACGCAGCTATTCAGGAAACTCTCCCCGAGTGCCAAAATACTGGCAAAGGACTCCACACATTCGTTCCACAACATTCCCGCAGGGGAACTGGTCCACTCAAGGGGACAACCTTGCCAGCACTTGGAAGCAGAAATATTACTAGGAATTGGCGTGCCAATCGTTGCTGGAAACAGAAACATCTAGGATACATTCTATTTGCTTCCTTCTTCCTGAAATTTCAGATTCGTGCCACCACATCTTCAAAATATCCCTCAGCATGTCTGAGTCCAGAATATATGCACTTTGGGTTAAAGCATTCAGGTTCTTCGCTGTCGCACACGGTTCTGTAACGTGGGCTGCTCATACAAAATAGGCTTGATGATGGAGAAGTAAGGCTGTGCTCTTGACCGCTGGGAAAGCGCTCTCCAATCGCGTGAAGAGACATTGCACTGGCAGAGGTATCATTTCCAGAAATACAATCAAGTGCCACCACTTTGCTGAACATTTTGACATATCGGACTTTTATTAAGTTAAGCCACTGGCTTACCGAGGGGCCCCTCACTGGCTGGCGGGAGCTCTCCAGCTCTGCCATGTAAGGTCCTTCCTGAGACCTTCTGCATACAGAGCAGAGGCCCTGAAGACTACACTATCGAACCTTCCGCTTTTCCACTGCAGCTGGCACACTTCAAAACAGCCCTCTGCGAAACCGGGGGAGAACTCGGAGGGTGATGACACAAGGCCAGGCCAATCAGGAGCGGAAAGGATGGGGAAGCTGGTTGTGCAGAGGCCACACCGAAGAGGATTCTGCAAGCGGTTACGTGAACGCTCTCCATCGGAGCGCGCCCACAAACTGCAAGAGAGTCTGAAGCCGCCTTCCTCAACGCGCTGCCTCCAGATGCGTCAGAGGACAACTCCCCGCGTCTCCCATCCTGGCTGGGAGTTGTACTTTAGCACATCTGGAGAGCACCAGGGTGCGGGGAGGCGGCTTTCTTCATTTAAAGGATTTCTGTCCTGAGCCTTGGCCAACAAAAGCTCCTAGAGTAGCTTACAATCAACCAGCAGATTAAGAGCTCCCCACCACACGCTTGTCATCTAAAACGGCACGAGACACACGGAAAGAAGGGTGGGGAGCACAGAGCAAAAGCTTCGGCAGGCGGGTGGAATGGCCCTGCTTCCATTCTTATGGTCTGTCTACAGAAACTGAAAGGTGGATTTTGATCAGAAGAAGAGCAATCTAGCCATGGAATAGGAGACCGAAGGAGGCTGCCCCTCCCCAGAGATCCCAAGGAAATCTTGGCAGGCTCCTACCAGGGATCCTTCAGGCAAGACTGGAAAAATCCCTGGGATCTAAGCACACAAGGCTGCCTTTGAAGGATGTGGAGAGGCAAGAGGCAAGAGGCAGGACAAGGCGGCCCGGGCGGCCCTGCACCACCGAGGCTCGGCAGGGCCGGCGTCGCGCCTTCACACGGAGAGCAGCGGACAGCGCCGCGCATTCCCGGAGACGGCGCCGCAATTTTAGGCCCGAGGCGCCGTCCCAGGCGCGTGTGACGCAGGGCCCGGGCAGCGCCCCGCCGCGGGGACATCCCGCTGCCGGGTTGCTGCCGGCGCCGCGGGGCAGCTGCGCTGACGAGGCGAAGGTCCAGGCCCGGCCCCGGCCCTCCCCGCTGCGCCACGTCGGAGCCCCGCCGCGCTCGGAGCAGGGGCCCGTTTCTGCTGACTAACCTCGCTTCCGCCCGGCGCCCGGGGCCGCGCCGCTGGGGGGAGGGAGGCCGGGCGGGGCCGCGGCCTGCGCGCGCCCCCCGCGGGCACGTCCGCCGCGAGCCCCGGGGAGTCCGCAGCGCGGCGGCC